TGAGGAAGGGACTTCTGGAGGTCATCTGGTCCAACTCCCTCTTTGGAGTGGGCCAACTTTGAAGCTGGCTCAGGTCACTGAGTTTTGAATCCCTTCAAAGATGGAAATTTCACCACCCCTCTGACCCCTGTTCCAGTGTTTGACCACCCTTGTGAGGAACAAGGTTTCATTATTTAACGAGAGTCTCCATGTTTGAAATTTGTGTTTGACTCTTGTCCCATCAGTATCTAGCTCAAAGGACTCTAGTTTTGTGTTGTCTGTAGCCTGCTGTGAGGTACAGAAAGACATCTAAAGTCCTTTCTTTCAGCCTTTTCTTTGTGAGACTCAACCAGTGCATGGGCTGGAGCCCGTGACCTTGTGCATCATGGGCTCCAGCCCCAGCCCTTCTTAGGATCCATTCACCAAATGTTTCAGTTCCTTGATGTCTTTCTTGTACTGGAGAACCCCAAACTGAATGCCAGAGCTGCAGGTGTGGTTTCACAGGTGTCAAATAGAGAGGAATAATGAATTCCCTTGACGTGCCCTGCACGTGTGCTGAGGTCAGCACACAGTTCCTTTCCATGGCTGCAGGACACGCTGCTGACTCCTGTGGTGTGTTCACCCAGCCAGTCAGTCCCCAGTGCCAGCACATGGGGTTGTTTTGTACCAGGTTTGTGGCTTTGCATGTGCATTTATTGAACTCCACAATGTGTCTGTCATCCCGTTTGTTCTGCATGTGTGCCTATGGGGAAGTGACATGTGAGAGTGGGGTGGGTACAGCTCCATCCAAATGGCAAAACCCTTCATGGAGTCAACATCCTGTGAGTGACCACAGCAGATCTTGAAGAGATATTTTCTCCTCTGGTTTGAACTCCATGACAGTATTCTTGAGGTCCTTGCTCTAGATGTATGAATGCCTCAGGATCAAAGGGAGAATTTTCCACCACTATGTATTTCTCAAGAAATTGTCATAGTACAGTAAGAGAATGAGTATTTCAGGCATTTCTTTCTTCCAGTTCTGTTCTGTGAGGTCAGTAAATCACATGGACTCCCAGGAGCTCATTCTAGGTTCACTTACTCATGTGGATTTAACTAAGCATCTTCCTGTTTCCTAATTAGCTTAATAAATTCATCAGAAGTTCTACAGAGCAAAATCTAAGCTGAGCGGCAGGGTTTTAAGCAATGGGAAGAGACTGGATTTATGTTTACCAAAACTGCTTGTGCTTTAGTTGCCTGTGAAGGTAACAGATTAACATTTGTCACAGCTGGTTGTGTACAGGTATCAGCCCCACGCAGGCCCTTGGTGGTGTCACTGACTGTCACTGTACAGGGGGGAAACTGAGGCAGAAAGCAAACACTGCCTGTGCCTGCAGAGGAGTTGTGGGTCACACATCATTTCTGCCTTTATTGTCAGAACTGGCAGGTTTGCAGAGCTGCCCACTTGCTGAATCTCATTGTGTCAACACTTAAAGCAAGGGACTAAAGAGGCATTAATGTCATCTACGAAGTGTGGTTAGAAACTGTGGCCAGAAAATCGGTGAGGTGTGGAACTTTCCATACACCTGCTCTCTCTGTGTAATTTATGTCCTGCTCTCAAAGCCCTAGGAATATTATATGCAGTCCAGATTTTCATACCTGCTGGATGTTTACTTTATTCAGCTCCTTACTGGATATGTACTGTAAGTCTTTAGCAGTGGAAAATACAAGCTGAAACCATTCTTTTTCAATTTAATAAAATAGTATGACAATTGTCAGTGGCCTGATAAAGTCTTTGAATAAAGCTGTAGCCAATTTCTGTTTCAAACACTCAGAGGAGTCATTATTTTACTTACAGGCCACTTTTACAGTTGAGCACATGCTGTGTTGTGCTCTTTTACTGTGTATAAAGAGGCCTTTGCGCTCCTAGTGTTTCCTTTAGCCTTTTGTGTCTTGATTACTTCCATACGTGCAGGGTATTTTGCAGTCTTCAGTGGTGAGAGGGCAGCCAGTCTGGGAATGCATCTTCATAACATCTCCGTCACCACCTCTGATGTGTGTTCCACTGTCTGGTGATTTTTTGCAAATTATTGGATCTGGGTCAAAACTATCTTGCAAAGACACACGAAATGTAATTTTCGGATCTGGTCTGTCTCATCAAGTAATTTCATGAGCTTTGGAGCCAGAAAGGAAGGAGAAAACTCGGGAGCAAAAGGCAGCCTTTTAGGGGCAGCTTATTGAATTGGCTTAAATTCATCTGACCCCAGCTAAGTGTTGGGTTGATGAAAGCCTGGAACAGGAAAACTTGACAATCAGGAGGGAGGAAAGGTTAGTGTCACCGTGTATGTGGAAAATTTATCTCTTCTCAGCAGATAAATTCTCTGTAACATGTAGTTTATTAATAATGAGGGTAGAACTGAATATCAGTGCTACCCACCAAAATCCAGTGATGATAACAAGTTTCAGTGGTCTTGATACTTTGAATGATAAGTAAAAAACCCTTAAAAATGGACATTATGGCAAGGCCAGGAAAAAAGTGTTTTTCATCGCAGAAAGTACAAAATGCCTGATGCCTCTCCATAACTCCTGTCTCACCAGCTCACTCTGCTTAAGAGAGCAGCAGCTGGTACAGGTTTTGATCACTCATCTCACATTAGGTGCTGTTGCTTGGATCAGAGTCCTGCAGCTGCTCAGATGGGGAGAACATAACATATTTTAGTGATGCTGAATTCTTGGTGGCATCCACTCTGCTGGGAAGGGCATGCAACTTGTTTTGTGGATGAAACTTGTGCACAACTTCCTTTGTATTCCAACCCCTCAGGTCCTTCCCCAGTCCCATTTTCATAAATCTCTGACGTTGCTTGTAGATGTGTCCAGGAGTCCATTGTTAGGAAGATTGTTCTTTTCAAAATTTCAAATTTCATCACCTAATTCAGCATTGTCATAGGCAGTGCAGACGTGGAGGAAAAGGCTGATGATTTTGATCCAAGCTGAAACATGAGTTGATAACATTGTCTCTTGGTGTTTTTGTTTGGCTGGTTTGGTTTGTTTTTTTAATTTAAATCACTTGAACAGACTTTACCACTTACTAATATGTGAGAACAGATATCCTGAGGTATTAGCACCTGAATAAGCATGTGCTAATGAACTGCTGTAGTCTGTGATAGAAACAGTTCTTGAAGGAACTGTGTCTTTTGACTTGAAAGTAAATATACTAATATCTGAGCAGGCACTGGGAAATAAAATATTTGTTTTTTCTGTGGTGTTGTTTTGTTTTTTTTTTCTGCAGTTCTTATTTAACATTGTTATGTTGAAAGGATATAATTGGAGTAATATATTATGGGAGAATTGCAGTAATAATAGTGCTCAAATCTTTCATATTTTTATGAAGTCACTTTAATGCTGCTCATTGAGCAATAGAAAGAGCTGAAAGTCTTGCCAGGAATGCAGAGAAATAAAACCCATAAAACCTGGCACAGTGAAAGTCTTTCAGTACAATATGAATGTTGATACTTTAAAAATCACAAATCATCTTTCTATTAATTTGCTGTAGAATAAGGTCTCCTCAAGATAAGACTCAGCAGTGCTGTGTAGTTGGTATTTAAAGTATGTCCATCTGCATCTAAACGAGTAGCTCCAAGACAATCAGATTATGCAGTAGTTACTTTGGTGAGAATATCGCCTAAGTGGAATGGAAACTTCATTTTGAGTCTAATATTAGACCCTGCTTTGGAAAATTCCTTTTAAATGATCACAAGCTGGGAATAGCAAAAGAATTTAACTTTCGACAGACAGCATTCACCAAGAATTTGTTTTTAACTGCTTATGTTGGGTCCCTGGGAAAGCAGATGTGAAAAACTTACCAAAGTGAATTGACTTGACCTGATGCAATGTTTATATCAGTAGTTGATAAGTTTTCCTCCCTCGTCTAATTTGTCCGGGGTATTTTCATTCTTTAAGCATGAGTAAGTCTGGGTTGGAATAGTTTGAATGCTTGTTAGTCTAATAATCTGAATCCTAAAACAGGCAGACATTATTGCCTATAAAGGGGTCTAAAGGAAAGTTGAACTATTTTGGTTGTCTTCCACAGTTGGGGATAAGTATAATTTTTGAGACCAGCAAAGAAGAGTGTGAGATGCTGTTTCTTAACTCCTGATAGCTCAGGAAGCATATGGATGTCTGTGTATTTGTACTGCAAAATGCCATTTACTTTTGGTGGACCCTTTGAATGAATGCTATTATTTATGCAGCTTTACAAAGGACTGGTTTTCAATGGTAGCTGGAGAAACTGGTAACCAGAGGTATCAAGGCCAGTTTGAAGGGTCATGATGATTATATTATTACCATCATCATTGCTGTAGCAGAAAGGACTTTAAGAATTCACTGTGAATGATGCACAGCTCAGGAATCTTTAGAACTACTGCTAATTATCTTCTTTGATTTTCTCTTTGTTGATCAGACAGTTGCTTTGAATATTTTAATTAATTAAATCCTAAGTAACATGTCATCACCATATATGGGGAATAGGTAAATAAATTATTTTTGAGGAAGAGAGGGGAAAAAGAGGAGCTGATGGATGGGGCTGACTTCTCTCTAGCTCTATCCTGTCCCTGTGTTTCTGTGGTTTGGTCATTGTTGCTGTTTTTTCCAGGCTTGAGGAAAACATCCATGGGATCTCACTGCAAGGAGGGCTCCAGCCTGGCCTTTCTCTGCCAATGCATGAGACAAGAAGCAGAACAACAAGATAATATGATGAATTCAGTGCCAGGGTGACAGTTTTGTTGGGAAAGACGTTAGAACAAGAACACTAATCTCTTTAGCTCCCCTTTAGGGCATAAGGTGGATTTATGTGATGCAGCAATGTGTATCTCATACAGAAATCAGGTTATGATTTTAAGTATCTGTTAAACTTTGCCCCTTTTTTCATAAAGCCTGACACCAACCTTTTTGTCTTTTTATTTATACCTGTATGTCTCTAGTTCTGCTATAATTTCATCATTCAGAAGTTTCTAAAATGTCTAAATTGCTGATCTGTCTCCTTGCAGGCAAGTCTCACCTGGCTATAGTGCAAAGAGTAAACAATGAAGGAGAAGGGGACCCTTTTTATGAAGTTCTGGGAATTGTCACTTTAGAAGATGTGATTGAAGAGATCATCAAGTCTGAAATTCTGGATGAAACAGATCTATACAGTGAGTAGAAATATTTGCAGTTTGTTTACAGATGAGAAGAAGGACTCCATCCAGCATCAATTGTATTTGTAGCTGTGTTTTGTGAGATGTTGCTAATTTAAAATCTCAGTAGTCAAATTGTTGAGGAAGTTTCCTTAACAAAATGACCTGCAGATCCCTCAGATGGTCAAAGTAATTTTTGTTTTTGCAGCATGGGAACCTCACTCCTTTAGGCTGTGTTAATTCAGAAGCGGGACAAGTTTCTTTATTTGATCCTTTTATCAGGAAGGTTTCCATCTGCAACAATGATCTCCCACATTTTCTCCTATTGTCACTCTGCCTCAAGGGTCTGCAGTCAATGTACTGCCATACTTCAGCAAGAGGCAGGCAAATACCATGCCTCAAGGAAGAGGAATGGAGTCTCTTTAGAATATCTGTCACTCATTGAGAAATCTTGAGAATGGGAAGTCTTCCCCAGGGCTAAAAACCAGCCTGTCCTAAATGCCTTCTCTTCTTGTCACTCAGCACAGTTCCTTCCTTCTTTGTGGTAATGTCTGTTGAAGGAGATGATGCTGCAGGTCAACCATTACCTGGAACTTGAGAGATCTGGACCCTTTTCTTTCCCAGACTAAAGCTTGGCCAGTTATCTAAAGTGTCTGCTTCTCCCCCCATCTGCACAACCTGGCCTGTGCATACAGGACTTCCTGTCAGTCATTCTTCATCTGTCTTATCTGTGCTTTGATCACTTGTTGGCAGATGCTGTTTCTCACTACGTGTTTGCATGCAGCACAAGGATGTCTCCAGATTCTATTATAGTAGAAATAATAATTTTAAGTATCTTTAACACTGTTCAGCTGTCCTTTGCTTTCTTTCTCTTTCCTCATGGAAGGAATGTTTCTACAGCTTTTGTTCAGGCCAACCCAAGCATCTTCTGTCCTCCCTCCAAGCCAAATGCCCAATGAGCACTTTATACTGTGGGAGAGACTTATTTGTTTTTGCCTGAAATGCTTTCTGTACCTAGTTGATATTTTATCAGTATTTATGTGCCCAAATGATCATGTAAATCACAGTTGTGTTTCACCGTGTGCTGAACAGTCTCATTACTGTGTAAATCACAGAAGTACAGTTAGTATTGATTCCTTTTCATACCTTCACAAATGAATTGTTTGGCTTATCAGTTACCATGTAATGCTTTTGCAGGCTGAATTAAAACTTCCTTTTATACTCCAAAAAGATCTTACTTACTTTTATCTACCTTTGAGATATTTGCATGTGTGTATGAGGGAAGACACTGCTAATGCTTTCAATTTCCCCCCCTGCCTTGTTTGTTAAGAGAAAACACATAGATCATGCTGTGTTGTTCTTCAGGACAAAAAAAAGCGCTCTGCCCATTTAGCATGTTGGAAGCCAAGGAAATGAGAATTTAATTTTAATTGTACTACCTGAAGGCTTCCTATATTAACAAAATAGAGCTGGTGAACAGTGAGTTCACTTGAAACTCTCATTCCTGGGATAATTTTTTACTATCAAAAATTCCTCATTCAGAACAGGAAGAAAACTTCCTAGGCTTCCTGGAGGATGCAGGAAATTTTGGGGGGTGACTCCTGCTAAGTACCATGAAGAACTTCTAATTTCTTTATGAAGCACTGGACATCATTCCACTGTTTAGACTGAAGGATACTATAGCAGTAAGGGAGAGAGCAGAAATCCCAAGAACCTGTGTGGATCACAGAAAATGTGAGAGGGTTTGGACTTGGGTAGCCAACTTCCAGTTGGTTTGGTAATGAGAGCATGTATGAGAACATGGGTTTACTGAAAGTATTTTATTGTCCATGATATGTTAAGGCAGGTTATTTTTGGTGTTGATATCACAGTATCACTGTTAGTAACCCCACCTCTGATTCTGTTCATTATTGTAGTAGTCTGTCTTGCTCAGCTCAGAACAAGTCAGCTTGAAACCCTTGGACTGATTTGCTCTGTACTAGGTGTTTACTTTAAAAAAGAGCTTTTGAAAAATTTTGGCAGTATTGTTACACTTTGTTCTGAAGTTTTAGAATTGTTTTGTTTTGCTTTGATGGAAACTTGAAATTCGATGAAATGGCTGACCTTGGTGTTGGAGCTGTGCCTTTCTGTTGTTTCCATGAAAAAACATTTGAACTGTGTTAAGGTGGAAGGAATAGTATATTTACAGTTTTTGCTGAAAACTGTTCTCATTGCTGAACTCTGCAGCTGAATTTCTGTAGGGGTCCAAATGAATGTGTGGTATGTCTTCATGTGGTTCTGTTGTGCCGTGGCTTGCAGAGATGCTGGGAGCAGGAAAAATTATTAAATATGTCTGACTCATCAAGATCAGGGTAGACTGAGTACTTCTGAGAATGAAACTTTGTACTGGGGATGCTGGAGGGGTGGAGAGATGATGTTTCTGTCATGACACATGACACATTCCAGGCCATGTCGTGATGAAGAGCTGCCAGTGTGTTTGGCTCTTAGTACTGGAAAGTTGTAGCATTTTTTCATGGTTGGCACACTACAGGAATGTGTCCTGTGCTGCCATGACTCTAACCATGATGGGAGAGCATTTCTCAACTTTCTCAGAGGCGCAAGGGAGAAAGCTGTATGTTCTGTGTTAGACTGCACAGACTGCTTGTTCATTTTTCCAGTCCAGGTTTGACTGGTGGCTTAGCTCTTTCTGCTTGAAGATTAATTTCATCATCTCTTTGTCTTGTCTGGAGCTCACTGCAGATGTCTTCTCTGTCCTAAAGACAAAAAGCACAGGAGGAGAACAAGGATTTTCCCCAGAAATTGCCTGAGTGCATTTGCAGTGCCTGTTAACTTGCCTGCCTCTCCAACTGGATGAGTGATCTGAGGTTTGAACTGCCTGTTCTGTAGCTGTCTCCAGTCCAAGCAGGCTCCTTCAAGGAAATTTATGCAATAATTCATCATGTTATGCATCAGGCATCAAAGTCTAGGATTATTACAAGAGATATCACAATCTAAATTTTGTTTTGACCACTCATTGTCTGGAGTTCTCTACTTCAGCCCAGAGTTCATGGTCAGGCTTGTTGCTTATGAAGGAGAAGTCTAAATACTCCCAGAACCTACTGAAGATGTTTGCAATATTTGTTAATTTCTCAGCAGAAGCTGTAGTGAGAGTATCCCTTATGCATCTCATTGTTCGTGTTGCAGAAGCAAACAGCATTCAGCTCTCTGTAAGCAGACATCTCTTCAGCATGCCAAGAGAACTTCAGTGCCCGCATCTCCATCTGACTTACCGGAGAAAGGACAGACAGGAAATACCTGCTTCAGATTCAATTACATTGGTCACAATCCAGTCCTTGGTTCTCATGTCTTAAAAGAAGCTCAAAAGTTGTTTGGATAGCAAAGAACAATTTGAGATCATCCCTTGCAAAAATAAGCCGAGATAATGCTAGTGCCAATAATGCTTAAGCCATGTGGCTCTGCTATAACCATGTAAAGTTTTTCTTGAGGGAAGATTTTTGGATAAGCTGCCAAGGAAAAAAAATAGGAGGAATTGAAATTGTCCATCATTTGATTTAGAGCCTGGGTCTTTCACTTGATGAGTGTTATGGACAGAAAGATTTAAGGCATCTTCCCACTGTGTGATGCTGGTCTTGTTTTCAGGTACCAGTAGTGCAGTGTGAAGCCTGCAGTGTTACAGCTCTTTCAAAGGAAAGCACAGAGATATTTCCCTGTCCCAGGGCAAACACTTGTACTTGTGATTTTTGCCTCCCTAAAGAGAGCAGTGATGGAGCTCCTTGTGAGAAAACACCTCAGATACAGTGCTTTAAAAATAACATTCTCTGAGCTTTTCAGAAAAAAGCAGTTTTTAGTCTTCTTATCTCTTACAAGAGGTAGGACCTAGTGAGAGCTTCTAGGCGACTTTTTCGCTATTAATTTTCCATTGCTTTGGTATGCATCTTTCCTTTAACTGCAAGTACAGATAAGGTCTGTCTCAAGCTATATTCCTAAGGCAGGGATTGTTTTTAGTCTGTAGCCACTCCCTTCAGTGGTTTCTATTCCTGCTTTTGGAAGAGAAACTGCAGTCCCTGATGTAGTCCAAGTCTTGTGTAAAGCACTACTAGGGTAAGAGGCTTTTGCTTTCAAAGAAGAAAAAGGACATGGGTCATCATTGTTCTCCATGTGCCTGGGAACAAGTATCTCAGACTTTCTGATTTGCACTGCTCACAGAATACACTTGAGATATCTCAAGAAGGTAAATTTCAGTCAGCACAGCATTGCTTTTGAGTCTGTGATAGTCCTGGAGTGGAGGGGAGTTCTGGAGCTTCCTGGGAAGCTGAGGATCTAGAGGTACTCATGTCTAAAAGACTGGGTGACTTGGGAAAACCTAGAAGCCTGTAAATTACCAGTTTTGTGCATTTCCAAGCCTCAAACTCAGCCACTCTGAGCCTTATGTAGTCTGTAGCATATAAAGGTTGTAAAAGGCTCCAGATCTCAGTGGCTTCCAGTGCATCACTTTAATCATCTTTGCATGTATAACTCAAAATCTGAGCAAGCACCTGGAAGTAAGTACAGTTTCAGTGTCAGCTTCACCTACAGCTCTTTGTGTGCCTGCCCAATCCTGTGCCATGAATCAACGTGCCAGAGCTGCCTGCAGTCCCTCAGAAGCCCAGTCATTTTACACCAGTTGACTGAGGGGCTGATAGACAGGGAGCTGCAGTATTCTTAGGATCTTACCCCTGAAAGGCCCTAGAACCTGAACTGTGTCTCGTCTCTGAGGGGCTCGCAGGAATTGCCTCAACACTTGGGTTTCCTGCACTCTGTGGAGCCCAGAGCTGTCTGACAGCATTCTGCTGCTTACAGCCACTGCCACCCTACAGGTGGTGTCACCAGAGAGGAGCAGCACCCTGCCATCTGAGCAGAGACCTCTTCTCTCTGGAACTGATGTATACCATACCCCAGCATATCCATAGCTGTCCACCTGCCTGGTTTCCTAAACATTTTGGGGTATCAGCTCAGGGGGTGGATGGTAATTCCTGGGTTGTTTGTGTCTTTCATATTGCTCATCACAAATGGAGATTCCTCACCACAGAGGCTGTTTTAAGACACAGGAGTCCAGGAGCCCAGGATCACTAGCAGGCAAAAACCTGTATCTGAATTTCTGAAGCCATTCTGTATTTTATTCTGGCTTCTGTGCCTCTAAGTGGCCAGAGATTCCCACCTGCAGGCTACACACCTTGCCAGCTTTTGCTGAAGTTTGGACAGGACAAAAGAAACTGCATATACCAGCCATTGGGAATACTTCAGCCAAAGGCATGTAGATTTTGCCACAGCTGTGCAGAGTCACTGAAGCCAATGGTACAGCAAAAGAAATAAGTTATTGTCTATTTCCTCTGTGTATGTGCTGGGAATTTTCTAAGGAATGTATGTGTAAAAACCATCTATCCCAGCTATGTTTGTAAAACACCACCTTTTGATGTTCACTAGTACTGAGCAGGACTTCTCCCCACCAGAAGTGTAACATGCAGGGCTGCTCTGCAGTCAGGTGTTTGCAAGCAGAGACTTTCCCTGGGTGACAGAGATGTAACAAAGGCCTGGCTGTGCAGGATAGGGTCCCATGACCACACAGCTCCTGATTGTCTGTGCTTTGGGCTGTGTGGTGGTGAACTGGGCTTTGCAGAGGGCTCTGCCTGCCCCTTGTGCTCCGCGTGGCCACCCTGGCTGACTCCAGGCAGCGCGGTTCTTGTTGAACCCCGTTCTAACAGAAATCGCTTCCTTCCTTTCTTCTCCCACCCTCCCTTCCCCAGCTGATAACAAGACGAAAAAGAAAGTAGCTCATCGGGACAGGAAGCAGGACTTCTCTGCCTTCAAGCAGACAGACAGCGAGATGAAGGTTAAAATATCACCGCAGCTCCTCCTGGCAATGCACCGGTTCCTGGCAACAGGCAAGTGCGGGTTATCTCCTTCTGCGATCGTGCCAGAGCCTCGAGGCAGTTTGTCAGCACAGGCCGCTGAGGTGGGTGGGACAGTGCAGGCGGGAAGGGAGGCTGGATTGTGGGGTGACAAATAATGCCACTGTTGTGTTTTTCTTTTTAAATTCTCTCCTCTCCTGTGTTCAGTGTCGGCATGAACCCTCTGAGACATATACCAGGGGTGGACCAGTAACTTTAAATTGGTCTGAAAGGTAAGGATGAATGCCAAGTGCCGCACTGCATGTCTAGAGTCCGTCAGATTAACGACACCCCATTAGGAAGAGCTCAGGGAACAAAGCAAAGAGGACTCGATACCACTGGCCAGCTGGCTGTAATTGCACTCTGGTGCCTTCTCCAGAAAGAGATGCTGGACTTTTTGCAGGAAGGTCTAAACCTGTTGCGTGAGACTTTAAGACTCCAAGTGAAAAACTCTCCTGACACATTTAAAAATGCAGACTGCACAGGTGGTTGAACTGTACTCTTTAAAATGGATTTCTGTCTGGCTTGTGTGACCTCCGTTGATGACTTCAGAGGTTTCAGAGGACAGTTGTCTCCATCCCAGAACACCTTGATGTTTTAGCCCTTGGGTGGGCAGTCTGGCAGAGAGACCAGGGCCTTGAATGGTTTCTTGCGGCTGGTATTGCCTTTCGTCGTAAACTTGGTCCTTTCACCTCAGAGATGAGGCCTTTAAACAGGAGAGCTTGTGGAAAAATGCCTTCTTATTGCTTGTGCTGTCTCTCTTTGATGTATAAAGACGTGCCACATGCAGGCCTTTCAGATGGTCATCTTTTGCTGCCATGTTCAACATACATTCATGGGTGGAAAATTATAAAGTTGCTTTGTCTGAAGTTTGCCAGCTCCACTTGGAAGTTAGTACTTCCCCTCCTCTAAGATGCAGTAACTGCCTGCCTAGATGCTCCTAGTCTGTCTTCACACTTTATTTTGCCTCTGTGACTTGAAAGAAATGTGTACATGATCGGTTATCACATCTCAGCTGAGGGGCAGTAATTCCTTAGAAGGCTCGGACTCCCTACATGCACATGAGCATGTCCTTGGTGAAAGGAAGCAGTTCAACAGGAAGATGTGGATTTAACAGCAAGCAAGGCATTGTTCATGTAGTGTACAAGACTTGGTGGAGTTCCATAAGCACCTGCTCAACAGGCATAGTCTTACAGTGCTGCTTCTCTACTTGTTTTGTGGATGAAAGGATTGTGTAGCTTAAATACAGGTCTGTTGGTGAAGCTACTGCTAAAAAAGATGAAAGCTACAGTTCTGGTTTCTCTGTTCTAAATTGAGAATAGCATCTTTAGCAGATTGTTGTTAATGGTCCTGTTCTGAAATGAGGTGTTGGGAAAGCTTATCAATTTGCATGTGTAATTCTCGTCATCCATGGCTTACCTCTCCCACACAAGGATGAGCTTTTCTGCTTCAAACAGCTCCTGTTGGAAACACTGAAGATCAAATGGATAGGGATTGTGTTCTGTGTGTCAGGCATTAATCCCACATTGCTTGAACTGACCTATACTTTCACTCACTTTGAGTAACTCTTCCCATATGAACCATGGCAGCCCCAGTTGTGTCTTATTTGTGTAGAACATCTCTCTAGAGCAACTTTATAGGCTCCAAGCAGTAATTAATTAATTGATTGATTTTATTTTAATAAAGTGCAATAAATGCAGTGACTTCGATAGCTTTTAGGGAAGGAAAAAAATTCAGAGGTTCTCTGTGCCCCAACTGTAAAGCTCTTCCATTTATACAACTTCGTGACTCAGAAGTCTCAAGAGGGGAAGACCATCTTTTTCTTTTCCCTTTCAGATGAAGACATGATTTTTGATTGTTTTGAAAAATGCTTCAGTAATGAAAGTTGGGGTGTTACTGTGTTTCCCCCCCCTTTACAAATCTAACAGTCTCAAAAGACAGGAAGCCTGCAGTTCCATAATGGACCTCTCTGCATCTGTGTGTCTTTTATAGGCAAATGCTTATTAACGAGTATTGCTAACTTCTTGCCAGGCATATGAGGTGTAATGCCAAGTTGTATCTTGTGTTGTAGAAGTAGAAGCATTTGGTCCATCCCAGATGTCAGAGAAGATCCTTCTCAGGCTGCTAAAACACCCCAACGTCATCCAGGAGCTGAAATACGACGAGAAGAACAAGAAAGCCCCAGAACACTACCTCTACCAGCGAAACAAGCCCGTCGACTACTTTGTTCTCATTTTACAGGTCAGACATGTGCTTGTGTAGATATGTGCAAAACCTTTTATATCCTGATATATCCCCCTCTATACCTCTTTCAGGTGCTGAAGTTTGTCTTCTTTCAAACATGGGAGGGGAACTATGGCTCCTGGGAACTGCTCCTGCCTCCTTTATGTCCTTGCCAGCCTTGAGGAGCTCACTCAGTTCCTTTCACCCTCAGTTAAACCAGTTGTGAAGGATAGAAAGCACTTCCCACATTCAGTCATCTGCAAAAAGTTACTTAAGCTTTCACTATCCCAAGGAGAGACAGTGCAAAAAGATCCCTATTGGCATTGCTTGGAAAATAGGGCTGCAGAAAATGCCACATCATAGGAATTTTGCCAGCATACTTTATCTGCTGTGCCTTTTCCTTTTGCAAAAGGAGGCATGGGGGTATTTGGTGGTTTAGAGAAATGACGTTTTTCTGCGGTTTTGAAGTCTGCACCTGAGGTATAGTGAGAAGCACAAGTTTCAGTGGGGGCCTTGTGCCATCTACTGAACTGATGTCACCTCCTGCTACAGCCCAGCAGAATGCAGACCCTGGGAGCCCTGCCATCCAAGCCTTTATCCACCCCTAAGATCCCTGCACTTGTGTGGCTTTTAGATTGGAGCCCTGGGTGGTGTGGGAGGACTGTTTTCTTTGTGTTCTGTTCAGGATTGCTTCCAGGGCTGGCATCTCCCAGGTTTTGTTACTAGTCAGGAATGGTTGGATGGTTTAGATAAAGCTTTACACAGAAATTTAGTTTCTGTCTAGCACCATTTAAACAGGAATAGTCCTTTCAGACCGATTTTTCTGGAAAGGTTCTTCTCTGTCCTGCAGAACTGAAAATCAGTTTTGGTTGTAAAAGCACAGGCATTGTAGCTGAAATTTTAACACAGGACTTGAAATCCTAACATGGCCTTTAAAATAGAAAAGGGGAGGACATGAGTTTAAACACTCTGTGATAAACAGCTATGAGAGCACTGGGATATTATATTGTGGAATTGTAGATTCAACATAATTCTGATTTTAAAAAATTCTTTTTCAAGAGTGTGAGGAGCCACTGGTAGCTCTTTAAGTGCTCTTTCTTACATGCTGAATTGTTAGAATCTGAAATATTCCAAAGGCAAGATGATCCTCCTGATGTAATGCTGCTAAGATGTAAATGGAGGACATGGGAATACAAAAGAACAATCAGTTCTTCCTGTGCTATTTTGCAATCAATAAATATTTAGCAAACACAACATGCCAGGTCTATAATGCATTTGGAAAAGTGAGTGTTGCAGTGAATACATACTACAAAAATGGCAACAAGGTTGGTTCTGCCAGGATCAAGAGGGGAGAAATACTCTGCTTTTGTTATTTAAATGGACTTGGACTTATTCTCTCACACTGAGGGACCAAGAATGCCTTCACAGTAAATGCATGCCAGTAAACAAGTAAATGTATATTCTTCTTGTGTGTACCCAGTCTTTGCCTGGGTGACAAAATGGAACCTTTTGGAAGGCTTATAATGAAGAAACAAGCTACTTTTTTTCATAGAGTGAAATTGGTTTTAAAAGGGATTTATATGAAGCTGTTGCTTGTGATAGCAGGAAAGTGGATTTGTGAGTGCACTCTTTTCCTGCTAGGCAGATTTTGTGCTTTTTCTCATCTGGGACAGATAGATAAATTGACTTGGTGTTGAGGCTTATGCAAGTTGAGTTCATTATCACCTTTCTCTGCCCTTGTCCAGCACTGTAAATTTAAAGGCATGATTATTTATTTTAAGTGGGGCTTAATGAAATAAACACTTAGAAATAAATTCTACTTTTTGGCCTCATTTTCACCCAGTTGTGTTCAGATGATGTTCAGTCTTAGTACACCTGGGATGCACAGTCCGTCTCCCCTTCCCAACTTAGCCAGAGAAAAGCATTGCAGGTAATTATGTTGTTTGCCTGAAATTCCAAATTTTGTCTAGTTCAGCCTGAAAGCTGGATGAGATCTCTTCTGTCTGCAGTGGTGTGCTGTGCAGTAAGGATGGGTGAACATGAAAACAGTGCAGTAAGGATGGGTGAACATGAAAAACAAGCCCCACTGAAAAGACAATTATTTTTGGCTACTTGTGTACCAGAGGGACTGGGATGCTTTACAGCTGTGTTTGATGTGGTGGGTTCTGTTCTGGAGTCCTGTTTAGGACTTAATGCTCTACATTTGGTTGAGCCCACATCAGAAACAGGTGTACTTGCATGGTAGTGTAGTTTTATACAACTTGGGAAGCACTGAGGGTCTTTTGTAGGCAAGACTCTGCAAAAGAGCAGGATCTTAAGGGGGTACTGAAATCTGTAATACTGCTGGAAATTAAGAAGACCAAAGTAGCCCCAGGGCTGCTCCTTCAGCAATAAAGGCTTTATTTCTGTGGGAGTCTCATCAGGCAGCCAGCCTCTTGACACATTGTCTCCATCTCCCTCCCTGTGTTTGTCTTAGAGGGAATTCTATATGGATGTAAGCTGTTCCCCAAAATGTCTAGGTGCTTCATGATCCCAGGTGATGGTGCTACATTTAAGCTTATTGTGCTTCTGGGGGAGTATTTTTTCACTCTGCAGTAAAGGAAAACAGCCTGGCAACTTGTAGCAGAGCAGTAGTACCAACCAAAGCTGTGTGGTGATCCTGATCCTGCTCCTCTGCAGAGACTTCTGCTGGCCACAAGGCATCAAAGAGCAGGGTAGCTCAGGGGACAAATGCCTGTCGCCCTTCAGGGTCTGTCACTGTTACAAACTGCAGGGACCATGACACTGCTTAGGGATGTCAGGTAAAACTATCTTTCAGGGCTCAGGTCTGATCATGTGCCTTGACACCCATGGTCCCTTTTAATTGCAGCTCTCTCTCCATTTCCTTAACAGGGGAAAGTGGAAGTGGAGGCTGGGAAAGAGGGGATGAAGTTTGAAGCTGGTGCTTTTTCCTACTATGGGGTGATGGCCCTCACAGCATCACCAGGTATGTCCTCTTCTGCTTCTGGAACAGTCTGAGCTCCTGCACAGTCCTGCCCTGTTGTGTCTGTGGGGCTGATGGCATTGGCACCTCCTTGCCAGCACAAGTGTCCCCCCTCAGTGTCCCTGGGGGGGACCGGCCGGTGGTGACGCGGGCACTGACTCCAGGACCCAGCAGCTGGCAGTGGTTTGCCAGCTCCCGAGGATGTGAGTGCTGAATTTAGCAAGGGATGTGCTGGTACTGAAAGCTTTGTGGTTTTGCTCATGGCAGGGTAACAGGGAGTGAATTAACGGGAATAAATAATTAGTGGCAGAGGGACATCTAGTGGTGTGAGGAGCAACCACCCGGTTAGTTTGAGGATGGTTCTGTTTGCCACTCTTGTGCCTAAAGCTGTCTGGAGAGAAAGGATGGAGCAGTGCCAGAAAAGCAATTGCTGCTGTCAGCTTGTGTGGAAATGTACCTGAGAAATCAGCAAGGGGGACAAGGTGGTGTCTGAGGGTGAGTGTGAGCCACCTACCAGCACACAAGTGGTAGCCACATGAGCCACCACCTCACTGGCACAGGTCAGGGAATTCTCATATAATCCATCAATTATTGCAGCCACATTTCAGCATTTGGTGATGTATTTTATTGCCAGCAGTGTCACCATGTAGGTCTCGACCTCAGCTGGAAATGTACAGCCCTGCTGGGTGAGCTGGGGCACTGGAGCTGGTGTTGGTCTTCTGCTGACACAAAGCCACTTGTTCAACTCCAGGGAGAGATGTTTCTTATGCTGAAATTGTGTCCTGTCACAGCAGGGTTTACATTCCACTTGAGAGGCAGCTTGTTTTAATTGTACACTCAGGAGTGCTCCTTTACATGTGTGTACCTGTGTGTATGTACATTATCAAATTGTGCTGAAATGGAAATGGTTTTGTGAGTCATGAGTGTAACCTTGTTAGACTCTACAACCAGCAGCAGTTCTCTGGACCTCTGTGAGCTCACTTTTACAGACAAGACTAATTCCTTAATTATGTGCACTTCAATTTAGTCAGTAGCTTATACGTTTTGAGATTTAGGAGATTTTAAAGCATGCAGAACACTGGTTGGATTTTATCTCAGTGATAGCAGCCATGTTCATGAGACATGTAAAACTGCATCATACCCTCAGCTTTTGCAATATGGGCCAGGCATGGAGTCTGGGTGGTCAGGCATGGTCACTTCTACCAGACTTACACTTGGAAATCACCTGTGGCATCTCTGTTTTGCCAGTGTTGTTCAGTTTGAATGTTTTCATGTGTTGTTGGGTTTTGGGTTGTTTTTTATGTTCCTAACCCTCCCCACAACCATTCCAGTTGCCCCAAGTCCTATCAGGTCAAATGGTCTCCTCTTTATATGCCCTGAAATCCATCTTTAATTTCACCATGTGGCACTTACGAATATGCACTATTGTAAAGTAATCTCGGCCAATCTTGAAGTTACCTTCAACTGGTTGGCTTTGGGGTTTTTTTTGTTTTCTTTTTTTTTTTAACCTGTAGCAAATCCCTCATTTTGTTGGCTTTGCCTCCAGGTTCAGAGATTTCTGTTGAGATCAGCTCATAAAAATAAGTTCCTGTTGCTCTCTGTAGACAGGAAAGCTCAGGGAAAGTATAAGTTATTGTGGAATAAAAGAAAACTCCTTCTCTTCTGTAGGTCCTAAATAAATAACACATGCTTGCTCTCCTCACTTGGAAGATGAAGCCACTAACAGTGGAGTAAAGCAAACCAAACTAAAACCAACCAATCAAACAAAAAAACTAAGAAAAGAGTGAAGCTTTTTTTCTTTAACTGCAGGTGGGGAGGGATTTGCAGTAATGGTGAGCAGTGCAATACCCATCCCAACAGGGATGAACTTGGAGAATCACAGCCTTACATTATATTTTACTGGAAACTTGAAGAACTATGAATTATCTTTTGATTTTATTTTTGTTATTTGCCTCCCATAAGGAACAGCACCCCTGAATGTTTTCTGGCTTGTTTTAATTCTTGCCTTCCAGGCTAGAGTGGGCACCACTTCTCCTTTTGAACTATTTCAAAACATGAGCGTACCTTGATGGACTATTTGGTGCTGGATAGTCATTTAAAATAGCAGTTCCTTCCAATTCCTTGGTCTTGTTTTTTGGTTTATTTCTAAATTTGATTGCGTTTTTTGGTTTTGCTTTTGTTTTAACCCTTTGCTTTTTCACAGTTGATTTGCACTGCTGGTTTTAGTTCGTCAGTTTGTCAGCTGGCTCCTTCCCCTGTCGAGTGTGGATAGCTGCCGCCTTTCTGGTCGTGATCTCATCCTTTTTCTCTCCCTCTTCTAGTTCCCTTGTCCCTGTCTCGTACCTTTGTTGTCAGCAGAACAGAGTTGTTAGCAGCAGGTTCTCCAGGTAAATCTGCATGCTTCTATTTTCACCATTCTTGTGACTGCCCTGATGCCATAAAAAGTCAGCTGCAGTCTGTATTTGTCTGACCCCTTTGCTCATTAGGGAGAAGTCCAGCACAGAGTTGTGCCTCACAGGTAGGTATCCTGAACCTTTGTTTTTGGGAACTGGTCAGTCATCAAAATGGGAAGAACTAAAAACATGTTTAAGAAAATGTGCTTGGTAATGAGTACTTGTTTTTTTTTTTCTCATATGGATGCTGGCGGAAAATTAGGAGGGAGATTTTTTAGAAGAATGTATTCTTCCCCAAGCTGGGGCATAAAAAATCCTGAAGAAAATGCATCTGACAGAGAAGAATGTATGCTACTAAACTGCCATAAAAGGAAAACTTATTAATGAAAGTATTTTATATTCTCATATGGGTAAATTCTATGGTTTGCATACAGTCTGGCCATTTTAATTCCTGGCAAGCTTTGAGTTTTCTCTCAGGGAGGTTAATGCCAGGGACCAGCACAGGGATCTGCTGAGTGGATGGATTTGCAATGGAATGTACAAGAAGGTTGTGGGAGGACTTTCTGGTTCCTGTTGTGCTTTCCTTGCTGTATCACCAAGCTGACTGGCACAGAAATTCCTTTGGAGAACAGAGACCAGCAAGGGAACAAACTGGGCCAAGAAGAGCTCTGAGATGTGGTTGAGAGATTGTAAATTGGGAAGCATCAAGAACTGAGTTTAGCAGACACTTGCATGCATGGAATGGTTGGGAAAAATGGAAACCCATCAAGAAAGTCTGTAGGAAAGCAGAATCCTAAAATAGTTTGGGCCACAGTGAGCATATGTCTTCCTTTTGAAGTTTTTTCTATTTTTTTAATCTTTCCCCAGAACTAAAAGCAAACAAGATAATAATATGCATATTTAAGTGAAACATCTCTTAAACATTAATACATGTAATGCATTTTATACACTTTCACCATCTGCTTCCTGCATTTCACCATCTTTATTTAACTTTAGAAAATGTATTTCATCATTGGTCTCTAACTTATCTTCATGCACATTCTGAGCAAACTACAGGTTGTTGCCTTGCACGGGATTTTTTTCCTGCCCTGTTACTTTCCTGCTGCAAAACACCAAAGAAGGGGGAGAAATTTAGTCTTTCTTTGATGGAAGTACCTATGGCTCTCCTTTAAGCTTGGCAACTTTGATTATCTTTCTTCACTTTGTTCTTTTGTTTTGCCAGCTCTTCTATTTTTACTTTTATTTTTCCTTTTCTGTTCTACAAATAAATATACACTTTGCACAGGTTGTTTCCATTATAAATGCCAAGAATACTTTCATAGCTTTTCCCCCGTTAAAAAAAAATTAACAAGGGAAAATAATAGTGGGAACAATCTCCTTTGTAAGGAGCTGATAGTGTAAGTCTGGTCACTGTGGCAACATGGTACCAGTTTTGATGAAACTCAGACCTTTTGTGGGGTGCTTATGAAAATAATTCTGTTCTTTAAACACAAATTCATAATACACTTATACTGATGTCCATCTTGTGGCTTGTGTTCTTTATCCCCTCTTTAGAAAGGTGAGGAATGTGGGAAAACCTGGGTAGAGAAGCTCTAACATGGACCTGCCTGGTGTTTATCATCTGTTCTTTCTGTACCCTTTCCTCTTCATTCTCTTCTCTCTCCCTGAATGGAATGCAATCCAGAAATCATGTTGTTTCCCTCACATTTTTAGAAATCATATCTTTTTGTTCTGTCCTTTTGTCTCACCTCTCCCTTTTTTTTTTTTTTTTCTTATAATGCTTTGCCATGTTGCTCTATATCCTTTGTGTTTTATTATAATGTACTGTAAGGTCCCTGGTGGAAAGACAAGGCAGATGCAAGTCACATAGTGTAAAGTTGTTCCAGGTGGAAGCCTTTATCCCAAGCAGCAGTGATGCTGTTCTTGTCACACACAGCCATATTTTGTGTGTACAGGTGGGAAGGAGGACAAATTCATCCAACCTTCACAGTTCCTTGTTCTGCAGTGGGAATTTCAGCATCAAACCCCATGTGCAGGTGGAGTTTTGGCTCCTGGCAGCAGTTATTGCAGCCTGCTGTGGCTTTCAAGTTGGCAGGCTGGTACAAAGGAAAACCTTGCAAGGCTCTGAGTGCTTCCCCCTAAGCTGCACTTGGTGTTGCCATAGGGACCTGCACTAATTCCATGGTGCAGAAATGGCCAGGAAGTTATCGAGTTGTCAGAACCTGTATTTTTTTGTTCCTCTTTTTAAAATTGCAAGAAAGACAACATCAGAAGGATTTTGAGTGGGAATAAGAATCAGGACAATTCTGCATTGTAAAGTGTAAGGTATAGGAAAGGCTGGATTCAGAGATGTAGAACAGGCTGAGTCATATGGACAAGGAGATATTATATTTCTAGTGATTAGGTGGCAGAGGTAGGGTTAAATTTAAGGGAGGTTTTCAGCTTTTTTTAATAAATAAAATTATATGTAAAGTTTTCAAAAAGAAATTTGAAAAGCTTGTTAAGGGGATTTTTGTTGATTTGCTCAAAGAGACTTTGTATCTTAAGATTACATGAAAATGATCTTTCAGCTTGAGAATGGGTATCATGTGATGAGTAGCATAGTTTACATCAAGTTTGAGTTTGAGCTGGCTGAATGAGTTTTGAGTGCATTAATATTCAAAAATTCTCTGGTCCCAAAGACAGTTCTTTGATCAGTATGTACTGTGTGTGTGCCCAGGGAGCAGCCCTGTCTTAGGATGTATTTCTGCCCTGCTGCCTTCTGGGTCACTGTGTGGGTGGAAGCTGTGGATGCAGAATGTCTGTGGTGTCCCAGAAGCACGTTTGTTTTGGATAGACTGTCCAGTCACACTCACAGGGGACAGCTGCGAGGTCTTCAGTGAAACCCTGCGGGACTTAAAGGCCTGTGGTGGAAAATGATGTCTGTAGTGTTCTCCTTTCCTGGACACAGATTTTTCTCTGTAGTGTGGACTGTTCTGTCTGTGTCACTGGCTGGCATGGAGTTTGCTTTCCTTCATTGAGGTTTTGCCACTGAGAGGAAATGTTGAATTGTCATGTGCACTGTACTCTGGTCCACTGAGGACTCTGTTACTCCTATTGAAAGTGTCTGCCCTAGCTGAGGGAACAAGGCATATGTAGGTGTCAGATGAAATAAAAGGAGGTAAGGTTCAGACGGGACTGATTGTGGATGAAAGTAACAGTGATTAAGAAAAAAAATATATTAAGCATGGTCTGACTATCAAGAGCTCCTGTAAGGGAGCTTTGGGAGGTTGCCTTTCTGTGGTAGTTTCTGCTCATCAGCTGAGGCGCTGTGTTCTCAGGGCATGTCTGTTGCAGCATAAACAAGTACAGGTTTGTTTAGGGCACACTCAGTGATGCTGGCTACCAGCTCTGGACTGAAAATGTACCATTTTTCAGGATAATTTGGTCATTTAGCCACATACCCACTTATGAATGGATTAAGCATTTGCTGTTTATTTATGCTACATCACAAGTTACTATGTCCCTTTAAAACTGGTGACTTTAAAAGTTTTCTACTTGATTTAAGAAATCTCTTGCTCTTGCCTGTTTCTTAGCTGAAAACAAGTCTCCACCTCGGCCCTGTGGCTTGAATCACTCAGACTCTTTAAACCGGAGCGATCGCATCGACGCCGTGACCCCGACGTTGGGGAGCAGCAACAACCAGCTGAACGCCTCCTTCCTCCAAGTGTATGTTCCAGACTACTCAGTGAAAGCCCTCACAGACATTCAGTTTGTCAAGGTAGGAAAAAAACTGGAAAGACCCTGCTGGAAAGTCGGGCTTGGCTGGTAGGATGGAGAGCCTGGGGAAGGGAATTCCCTCTAAATTCTTCTGTGAGTAAATAGCATTATGAAAGCAGCTGTTTAAAGTTACTTTAAACTACTTTTTTTCCAATATCTGCTGTCCACTGATTTGTCTTCACTGTTCTTCTCATTTGGACTTGTAAGTAGGCTGGTCACATAATTTTCTGGATTTCAGGTCCTTTGAGGAAATATTGTAAAAATAACCTCTCTGCTTTTAGTCAAACCTATCCTCAAGAAGCTTTTGGACCCATCTGAAATGGAGACCCTTCATTATCAGACTGTCCTTTTCTAAAGGATGACACATTTACTGTTGGTTGCAGTTTTTATTCACTTCTGATTTTGGTTTCAGTTTGGGGTTCTTGATCTTACTTTTCGATTTGCCATCCTTCTTCTGCTTGGAGAAGTCTTGGACATTTCTCTTTATCTTAACTTCACATGTATTAGGCTCATGTCTCATACTACCAGTGAGTTGCTGCATGAAATACAGCTCTGTCCCCCAGCATGGAGCATCCCACGCTGAAATGTGTGCGAGTCCTGTGGGAGAGAAATCTAGCTGAGCTGAGGAACAGATAATGCTGGCAGCAATTCCAGCCCAGCTGGGAGTCCAGGGAAGCTGATGTCCCATGGCCAGAAGTTGACATTGATGCTTTTCTTAAATTAAGTGCATGTTCACAGTTTGTTTGTATGCAACTCAAGTGATTTGTGAACTTCTGTTAGTTAATTCAGAGTTAAGAGTGTGGAATAGGCTAGACATACTACAATGCTAAGCTGAGTATTCTGTAGCCAAATTTTAAAAGGAGAGTAAAGTCTTGCTGTCAAAACTTTGAGATGCAAGTGTACTGGTCAATGGTTCAATCCTTCAAGGATTACATCAGTAGATGTTTATCACTGGGCAGTTGAGTCTCACTACAGATTTCAATGGCTAATCTGCTGTACAGAGCAGCTGCTCACCCTATGTTGGTTTATGTGAAGTCCTTCCAAATCTCACTGTGTTCATACTGAGGCTAATGAATGTTAAACTGTCCTGGTATCTCTGCAGACAGACTTGCACACCTCTTCTTGCATCACTCTGCTTTACACATAGGTCAGAGTACTCAACATCAGCGTTTTCACTGTGCCACGTGGTCATTCATTCAATTAATACCTTGTAAAACTGGGATTGTGACCTGCTCATGCATGTTTGAATTTTGCTTTTGGAGTTGTGACCTGGTCCATCTGACTCTGTCCATTTCCAGTCCCTTTCTTGTGTTGCTACTGAAATTTACAGTTTTCTAAAAGTCATTTCATCTTTTCCACCTTCCTGCCTGCCAAGATCACCCACTGCTGTGGGCTCATGGGGCTGCCAGTGCATCCTGCTGCCTGTCCTGGCTGAGAAGGTTGGCCTGGAGGAGTTCACAGGGCTGATTGCTTGTGGCTCCAGGAGGAGTTCTGCCCTCCACCACCAAGTGCAGATCTACAGGGGCTATGGGCTTCCTGTCCCTGGGGCACTGTGGGCAGTGGCACTCTGTGCTCTAGGCCAGCTCTTGTCATCACTGCTCTGCTGAGTGCAGACAGCTCTTGCAGAGACCAGTGGAAAACTTCATGGGTTGCTAATTTGGACTCATCTCTATGGGCATCCCAGTGTTTCCTAGACTCAAATGTCCTATGTATAAGGCTGTAGCTCCTGCTGTGTTTGCTGGCCTAGACAAGAGCAGGAATGCTTGTACTTCATACTTGTACTATAGAATGCTTGTACTTTACACTTGTACTATAGAGCTGGCTTGGCTCTATAGGGACACTTAGAGCCTCACCAGGAGCTCACTGAAGTTGGGAGAAAGACTTCACTGATCTCTGGTTCTGGTCCTAAAGGTGTGCATGGTTGGAGGAAAATGGAGGTCTGATTTAAAAATCTCTGCATAGGAATAAATCCCTGCCTTTGAACAGCATGGTGATTGCACAGCACTGTTCTTCCACCCTCCCTGGAAATGTCACCATGCTGTGGGTGTTGAGCTGGGATGCTCTAGGCTTGCAAAGCGCAGGGATGTTTTATGGAAACAGGTAAAGAAGGTAAAGTGTAGTGATCTGGAAAGGGAGGAAACTTTATCTTCTCAGTGTGCTCCACAGGAGGCATAGAAGTGTGATTGACTTCTTTTGTTTCTTCCCTGTTCTTGGAGCAGATCTCAAGACAGCAGTACCAAAATGCCCTGATGGCATCCCGGATGGACAAAACACCTCAGTCCTCGGACAGTGAAAACACTAAAATCGAACTGACTCTTACGGAGCTGCACGATGGTTTGCCAGACGAGACAGCAAACCTGCTGAATGAGCAGAACTGTGTGACTCACAACAAGCCCAACCACAGTATGCACAGTGAAGGAGCCATCTAGGAGCTGACTCCCCACAACCCACCCATCCCATCTCCTCAGCAGGACCAGCCCTCGCTCCTTCCTGCCTCCTCCCCGAGTGTGAACACCGTTAGTGTGTGCTTGCAACACTGCTGCATCCAGTGTTCTGAGACCAAAGACTTTTGCGTCCGTTCTGGGAGCAGAAGAGGAAGAAACAGGAAGAAAGGAGCAAAGAGCAAGAGAGACTAAAGACCCAAACGTAATTTGGGAATGGTGAGCCACCCTTGAGAACGATGAGAATTCTTCTTGCAAAGTAGAATTATGTTTATTTTTTATCTGTACTTTTGATCTTTGTTGGGTTTTTCCTCCTCAAACACATATGGGGAAGTTTAAAAGCTCCTCCATTATTTTTTCAAGAGAGATCATGTTTTTAAGAAGTATTTTGCAGAGTTTTAAATTGTTTCTGTCCCTCATGAACCTCAAATGGGCTCTGTCATGGTTTTGTGAATTGGCTCCAATGTCCTTAGGCCTCTTCTCACCCCTCTGTGGTCCTTTTTGTTACCCTGTTGAAAAAGTTAGTAACTGGTACTTGTATGTTATTTGTGTCCTAAGAAGGAGCAAGCTTCAAGGAATCTCTAGTTTCAGCCACCTGGAGGACCAAGAGATGAGGATTATTACATTCTTGCAGTTAATTTTCAGGGAAGGAGTGGTTACTTTGGTATTTAATAATGTTTCAAATTTCAGAAAGTTTCTTTGTTAAACAGGCAAAAGCATTGTTACACTTAGTTTTGTAACCTCCAAAACCTTTGTGTATGTTGAAGACGATACTGGGGGGAAGGAATTAATTAGCAAAACTGCAGTCACGTGAAATGAAAGCCGGGTGTGATATTCCAGTGAAGTAACTGGGTGATTTTTCATTGATGTTCCTGACAATTGCATGGTGAAGTCATGTGTGCACCCTGAGATGCCAGGTCTCTGAGCACTCCCGTGCTGTAGTGGTCTGCGCACAGTTACCTTGGCCAGAGCAGATGGTGCAGCCTTTGCTGAGTATCAGAACATCAGTCCCTGTCCCCCCCGTAATCTCTAATATTAACACAGAAGATGCTGCTACAATTACAGCCAAAGTACATGCTCCAGGTGACAGTAAACCTCTGCCAGTGCAAGGATGGGCACTGCTGAGGAGCCAGCACCATCCTCTCCTCTCCAAGAGCTGACAAAACTTTCTAGACGCGAGTGTATTGCACTTCAGGGATTCAGAGAGGTTCATTTCCAGGCTGTTCCCAGCCACATTCATTCCTTTGAGTGGATTCAGTGCATTTCCTTCTCTCTTGCCCCTTTTAACAGCCATTGTAGGGATTACCAAGGTAGCAGAGCAGAGAGCCTCCCACCCAGCTGCCACCAGTGCAGGGCAAAATCTGCCTTGGGCAGCAGAAACCAATTCCTCCACCCCAAAAACCTGAATGTTGATTGGGTGCCAGCAAGAGGCACCCTATGGCAGTTGTGCATCACCCATTTCCACAGATGGAGTCTTAAGTCCTCAAATGAATAAAAAAAGAAAGTCAACCCCGCAGTCCTCTTCCAGTGCTGTCTCAAACAAAATGTGAACATCAGTATCTGGATTGATAAATCAGGCTTTGTGGTTTCTCTGCTTCAAGACCCTGCTATGGCCCCTGGCTATGTAGCATTTCCCTTTCTTTACACGTGGATAATCTCTTTGGGGACATCCAAAGAAGCCCCCAGCCCCAAATGCAACTGCCAGAGCTCTCTGTGCCTGCAGGCCTGCCCCGTCTCTCCTGCTCACGGGCTGGGAAAGGCACTTGCTGCAAGTTCCCGTGGTCTGTCTGTGTGACTGGTGGCTGGAAAGGTGCAATATTCCATTACAGGATCTCCCCATGGGAATTGGAGTGTGGTGTCAGAGCCAGTTGGGTTTGCCTGTCTCCCTCCTCCTCCTCTCTTTTCCATCTTCATAAAGCAGCCCTAATTTTTGCTGTCCACCCCGATGGGAGCCACCCACGAGGATGAAGTCCCTGCAAGGGGCATAGAAATTGCATAGTATCCAACCTGTGCATGCAGTGAGGAGGAAACAGGCCCTCCAAAGCCTTGCTCTCACATGTAGCTTTTTGACTTTTCCCATCCAAAAGTGTTTCCTTAGCCTCCATCCCACCCTTGCTCTGATGTGCACCAGCACTGCTGAGAGCACGTGGCTTGGCAGCATCATGGGCTGCCCTAAGCCTTGTGCCTGCCCAGAGAGCTGCCAATATTGCACCTTTCTCACAGAGCAAAATGTCCAGATGTTACAGCGTTTGTTCTTGGCGAGGGACTCACCTCGCCAGTTTTTATCTAGTGTTGCTGAATGTAAAAGTGTGTTGGAAGTGTTTGACACAGTGGTGAACTTGAGATGCAGTATCCGTTTTGTCAAACCTGCCAAAGGAGGCAAGGCTCAAGTCAAGGCAGCTCTCTCCAGGATGAGGTTGCTCACTGGATCTGACTTCTGCTTCTTATGACAGGTTAAGGATTTGTTTCAATGTCTGTTTCCCTTTTTAGAAAAAAAAAAAGAAAAAGGCAAAAAAAAAAGCGCAAATTTTTCCAACCAAAGCCATGTGATCCCAAAGCAAATACCTCCTGCTTCTGCCCATGCTGCACTGTTCCAAAATTTGCAGGCAATTTTTTGCATGACCGTTTTTCATCATTTGTATAGATCAAATAATGGAAAGTGAAGTAATTTTACTTAATTTCCATAAAAATAGTTGATTATAGATGTGTTTCATATGGGAAATACGTACCTGGCCCAGAGGGGTTAGGAGCTGCTACTACTAATTAGCTTGAAGAACAAAGCATGGTCCTCTCCTTGGAGGGGAAAAAATCCCATCTCCCTGTTCTCAGGGTATTTACAGTTTTACTGTTTAACAGATGCGAGGGGTTCCCAGCCCTCCTGGTGGGAAGCACCACAGCAGAGGAGCCCCGTGCCCAGCTCAGGATCCCTCTGAGCGTTGGCTTTGCCGATGCCAGGGCTTGGCTCTCCTGCCTGCAGAGGAGCCCTGCCCTTGCAGGGGTGTCCTGCCCGAGCAGATCTGCCCCCTCTGCCTCGTGGGGCGCCTGGTTGCTGTGCTGCAGTGCCACGAGGACAGAGCAGGGCACCAGCTGGTGGCTTTGGGAATCGTTGGACTTGACCTCAGACCTTGGCCAGGCTTTGACTTGTGGAAAGGATACTGCATCTTCCTATGTCAGCTCCTGCTGCTGCCTTTGTTCCCCTCGCCCGTCTGCCTCTGGGTGCAGGCAGCAGGGTGGATGATGGCCTGTTGGCTGGGGGAGGCTGGGAGGGTATCTAGCCATGGTTTCTACTGTCAATACAATTTTGCACAAGAGTTCTTTGAAGTGAGGTTTTCAACACTAATATCTTAAATGCACAACTGTGAATTATAACTTTTACACTCCTGTTGGTTGAATTTCCTTTAAACAAAATGAACCTGAATCTGTTGTAACTATGATTTATTTTTTTAAATTCTGTGTATTGCCAAATCTTTGTAAAGAGTGAAGGAATGTTCTTGCCTTCCAGTGAGAATCTTTCTCCAAATGAGACTGACTCTGGTGATGTGGAGATCATATGAAGCACATTAATTCTGAGAGGAGAGGGGCTCAGTGGGGGGCTTAGCAAACCAGCCTCAGCCACACTGTGCTGCGAGCTCAGACCCCTTGGAGTTTACAAAGTGCTTGTTGTTTTATTCCCAGCTTGTCCACTCCCTGAAATCCCAGTGCAGCTGGAGACTGCTGCCCTGGAGGAGCTCTGGATGGGTTATCCCACAGTGGGGTGAGGAATGCTGGCAGGGTGTCCGGGCTGGCAGGTGGGCAGGGGCCCCAAGACTGGTGTGGCAGGAAAAGGTGCTTCCCCCATCCAGATGCACCAGGAGAGGAACCTCCACAGGGCAGATCCCTCTGCTCACTACTTCTGCTCCAAACGTGTGTCATGTATAGTTCCCTCTCATGTTCTTTTTGCCCCTGTGAGCTCCTGCTCCAGACTAAGCAGGAATGGGATGGTGGTTGAGCCCTATGCAGGGGCAGCTGGAGCTGGCTGCTGAAGGTGTGCAGTTCTTGGGCCTCTTGGAAGAAGGGTTAGCCACTCACATTGTGCCCGCTTTTCTGTTCCTCCTCTCTTCTCCTGGACTCACTTCCTTTTTCCTCACCACTGAGGGCTTTTTTGTTCGTTTTTCTTCTTTTTGTTAAGTGCCTTTTTGTGTGGGTAGAGCTGGCAAGAGTAGGAGTCTCAGGATATGGCCCTTTGCTCTCAGACCTGGACAAAGCTCAGGGGTAACAGCCTGAGTTGCCCCGATGGCCCACACCCATCACCCATTGCTGCTTCTCAGCCTTCAGGGCCCAGCTTGGATGAGGATGAGATTTGGTACCTGTGGTGTCAGGCTCTGGTTCAAATCAGCCCAAAGAAAACCAAAGAGGTAGCTTTGTGTGAGGGGCTGCTTGGGCAGCAGTGGTGCTTCCTGTGATCTCTGCAGAGCTCAGCCAAGGGGTGTGGGGGTGCCAATGGCAAAAAGCAGCCCTTTCTTCCTCATGAGCATCCTGTGTAAGTATCCTACATGGTGGAGAACAGAGCCACATTCTCCAGGACCCCTTGGAACATGCACCTTCCTCGTGCAGAATTATGTTCTCTATAGAAATCATTCCCACATGAAAGATGTACCATATTTTATAGAATGTCTAATACACACATCTGTGGTTTTAAATCTAGTATCTGTGTACCAATTGTTAAGTTATCCTATGTCTGGATTACCAGTAGAAAACTGGGGCTGGGAGTGGGGAAGGGTGCTGCAGAATACCTCTTGTGATGCTGACTTGAGGCTTCATCCCAAAGGTGCCCACCCAGCATTGAGGGGTCCCTGTGTCCACACTGTGTCCTCTCCCATGACAAGAGCCCTGGCTGTGTGTGGTACAGCCCCAGATGTGCTGCCCATCCCACCACCTGGCTCTGCACTGGGGCTCTACATAGACCCAAAGAAGTTCCTGTTCCCTGGATACTGAGGGTTGGTTTGGCCCAGCGGTGAAATGATGAGCTTAACCAACACAATCAGGCATCTTCCCATGGCACGGATGGGAGAGCAGCCTTCATCTGACTTAGCCAGCAGGGAGGACAGGCTCTGCACCACAGCTGGGCTGGGCAGCCACCCTCATCCCTGCATGTGGTCCATCAGCTGCAGGTCTCTTGTTGGTGTCATGTCTATGGTGATTCTGGCCTCACTCCCACAGGTGAGCAGCACAGGGGACCTGGACATCCATGGCTTCATGCAGAGCCCCCTCAACAATCCTGCTTGGTGCCTTGCTCTTGTCCTGGAGCCTGGCTTCATGCTGGGTTGTGTTCCTCTGGGGCCAGACTCAGGGCTGCATCCAGATGAGGAGATGTTGTTGCTGTGAGTCCAAGGCGGTACAGTTGAGCTTTTCCATCTGGTGTGTGCATATTTTCCTGAGCTTCAGGGATGGGAAGGGGTTGCTGGAAGGCTGTTTCCAGTCAGTGGCACGGTACAGGTGGCAGATGGAGTTGTTTCATAGGTTGGTAGCACTGAATTCAGTAAAAGTGATGTTTTCTTCTTATCCCGAGGTCAGACTCTATAGCAGTTCTTTGCATTGGAAATACGGTACTCAAAGCTGCTGGTCTTCTGTCTCCAGCTGAAAAACATCATTTTCCCCTCAGGTTTTGCCCTTGGGCTCTGTTTTCCTCTGAACAGGGCTGATCAGTAGGATCCTGCAGCAGATGGTGCCCTGGCTGCTCTTGCTCCTTCAGTGCAGGTTTCTGGCCAGGGAAGTGCTTGGTGTTTGATCCTCCCCCAGAAGCAGAGGTCTGGCTGGACTCAGTAGAAGTGGCCTCTCATAGAACCAGGCTAGAGGTTTGTCAGCTGCCTGAAACATGCAAAGGCTGCAGGTGGCTGCAATGCTTCAGGGGTGGATTTGATTTCTTTGTTGTCTTCTCCTCCAGAGAGCAGCATAGCAGTTGGTTGGTAGCAGGATTTGTTGGAGAAGAGGGGCTTGTCCCGGCATTTGGTGCTTGGTACAGCAGTCTAGGATCCCTTCTCAACTGTTTGCTGATCACAGAGCTTTATAATAGAAGGTGGTGTTTTATCCTCTGGGCATCACTGTTGAACCAAATGCTTCCAAATACAAGTGAAAAACTGGTTGGTGTCAGATGCCTTTAGTTGGAAGTGCCAATATGGAATGCATGTCCCAAAGATCACTGTGGGAGAGTGAGGGGTTCCTGATGAGCTCCTCTTCTCAGAAGTGACAGACTGGCCGGGCCTAGATCAGCTCCAGGGTCATTCCTGCTTTAAAGTCTCAGGTCCAGCAGGCTGGGCTGGGCTGGCTGGTTTTCACCCAGGGTACGTGCTCTGTCCTTCTGCATTGTGCTGGCTTGGATTCAGCAGCGTGGCCTCTGTGACAGCTGTGTGCACATCACAGCTGCCCCTCTGCTGCACTCACTGGGCTTTAGCTGAGTGTTCAGGAAGGTGACAAGGAGGGGCAGCAGTCAGGAATGGGCCATACTGCAGCCATTCTGTCTTCATTTCTCACACTGAGGGTAGGAGATGCTGCTCAAGGGACTCTGCCTTCCTTGGAGATCACATGGAATTTGGAGAGTTGAATCCTACCAGGACCCCAGCAGCAGTGCTGCAGTCCCAGTTTGATCCATGTTCTCCTGAGCACAAGGGTCGCTTAGCAGTAGTTCAAGGTCAGGCCCTGCTGAGGGACCTCAGAGCTCTTGGCATTGTTTTTCTCCAGCAGAGCCAGCCTTGACACCTGAATCACTGGGCAGGTGCCTGGATGCCAAACACAGTGAATCTGAAACCCCAAATACTTGAGCCGTGTTCCTGGAAGCCGTGAGCAGCTGGTGCTCAGCAGCCAGAGGTCTCACACCAAACCTTTCTCCTCCCTGGCTGCTGCTGGCTCGGCCTTGGTCCCCCCATTCCAGAGCATGGTGGCTCTCCCTTTGCAGTGCATTTTCATGGCTGTCTGATCCCACTCCAGCCAGCTCTTCCCTGTGTCTTATTTGCCATCGTATGTGGTCTTTGCAAATTGTATCATATTGTACATGACTTCGGGTTTCCAGAGTTGTAGTATTCTGACTACAGTATTTCTGTGTGTGTACATAAACCTGAATAAGCACAACTGAAATCCTGAATGAAGTGTATACGTTTCATATACTGATTGTCATACAAATTAATTTTATAATTATTCCAATTTTGTTGTAGATTTCCAATCTTTCCTATTTATTTTGTACCAGATTTATTTGTATATTTTGTGATTTTGTTTTAAAGCATTTTGTTTATTTCTATTCTTTTTAGATAAATGATGATTTTTTTTTTCTGTTGAACATTCCAGTTTATGCATTTTTCCCTCCTCTATGTTCTCCCCTCATTTCCAAGGGACAGATTTTGGCATGTGGGTGGTGGGGCTGATATCTGTGATTCTGCACCCAGATCTCTCCTACTGGCACATTTAACAGTCTTTAATCTCCACTTCAGCTGCCAAGAGCTGCAGAGAGGTTGGATCTTGTTCCTTTAGAGGCAGGTGTTGCTCTTCACTTTGGTGGGTCTGGGCCTCAAGACCAGAGGACTAAACCTCTGCAAGTCCTCGAGCTGGGGAGGGCTGTGCTGGTGGCTTTGCTGATCAGGGGCTGGCTGGGAAGCTGGTGGCAGTGGCAAGCAGCTGACTTTTTGAAGTTCCCTCAAGGGTGAGGGTCTTTTTCTTTCAGTAATAAAAACCCCTTATTTACAACCTGCTCTCCGTAGGTCATGTTTGTCTCTGGGCGCAGATGCCGTCTGTCTGTCTGTCTGTCTGCAGCGCGTGCTCCTGCCCTGGGGGACCACTGAGGGATGTGGCAGGGGATGACGGTGGCTCCGTGGGACGGGAGGAGTTTGGTGCAGTGAGTCGGTCCATCCCCCTGCACTCGGGTGCTGCTGCCTTCTCCCCTCACGCTGGGTTTTGGCAGTGGAGCTGCGTGGGGCCTGCAGCAGCAGAGACATTGCTGAGCAGGAGAGCGAGCCTGTGCTCAGTCCCTTGCCCACCTTCACTTCCAGCTCACACTGGTGGAGGAAAGCCCCTTTCCTGTGTGTCAGATACAGCCCTGCCATGTGCCCTTGTTGTGCTTCTGCCATCCCTCAGCCCCTCTCCTCTTCACAGCTGTTCCACCCAGCTGCTCTCCCTGCCCCTAGCTTTTGTCATGCTCAGCTCTTGAACTGCCAGACCCAGGGTTAGCAAGATGGGCAGCAGCTGCTCAAACCTTGTGGGGATTTTTGCTGCACCCAGTGCAGCTCTGTCCCTGCTTCTGTGCTGCAGGATGGCCCCATCCCTCTGGACCTCACTCCCCCATGATGTATCAGCAGGACAGAGAGAGTGGCAGGGCCTTGAGGACTCCTGCTCCCCTGTGTGTGCCTGTCCCTGGCAGCTGCTGGAGGGTGCTGGGGTGCTACGAGCACGATG